TTACTACATAGTGTATGGGCTGGAAGCAGGACAGAAAGAGATTAATGTGTTTCCCCTCCTTCCTATGTAGAAGGTTGGTTCTGACATTAAAATCTAACTTAGCTCATTTTAATTCAGTGAACATTCTCTGAACATGTTTATATGCAAAACACACTATGAGATACAGTGTGGGATTCAAAGATAAAAAGTGAACTAGAAAGGTCTATTTTGGGATGCTGTTGCTCAGGGGATTCTTTATTGATCCTGCTTCATCTTTGGCTCTGTTAATTTTTAGAAAATTTACATAATTATTCAAAGAAAAAGCTGGGTACATATTGATTCCACAGTTGAGCAGCCCCAGGAGTCTAAGACAACCCGTAGCCACTCAGGATTCATGGTGACAGCAAATAAGCCAGCACTAAAGTCCCCAGCCCCCAACACAGTACATCATATATTGTCAACACTTAGTACGGAGATGTAGACACAAAGTGAAAGAGGCTGCTGGAGACCTTCTCCAGGAACTAAGAGGTTCGGATCAATGTTGAGGTCCTAGAATCAGAACAGAAACATGAAGGTGTTACCTTGAATCCCACCTTGATTACTTATCATTGTTAATTAGGTTTACCTGGCCCTGTTCCTTTCTCTACCCCCCAAATGGTATGGGTCTGTAGCTAATTTAGGCACTTGGTAGGAATGATAGATCTTCTCTGTTGAACCCTTCATAAACACTTCATATCCACTACTCTATTGAAACCTTAAAAACACTGTCTGAGATAGGAAATACTATATGACAGATGGGAAAACTGACTCTGGGGAAACAGCTCTGAGAACTGAAGCACTTGTCTCTAGCTCACTCAGAAAATGGCAGGTCCAATATTCAAACTAAATGTTGTTTGTGTGCATTAAAACCCCCATTCTTAACTACCAATTTATAAACCTAAAAAAAATCATCCTTCCTTCTTTTTTACATAATATGACAAAGGTCCTTAAAGAATACTTTTTGAAATATATTCAGTTTCTTTTCTGATTACAAATTCTCTGTATTTCAGATTGACAGTTGAGCTGTGAATTTTGATATATGAATTCATGTCAATTAAATGTTCACTATTCAATAAACAGAACGGTTTCAGGGATAGCTTATTTACCCAATTGTACTGATGGTTAATAAATCTTTTATTCTTCCTATAATCACCAATGTCATTAGAAAATGAAAATTGATAGGTGCCCTTTCTCCAAACAAATTCTGAAAACAACACACTGGTGGTTGAGTCACAGTTTATTGCCTCTCTAGTGATGTGTTGCTGGAGAAAAGATAATTATTTTGCTGACAGACAGACTTTCTGCTTCACTTTTAGTGATCAATTTCTGGGGTTTTCAAGAGCAAAAAGCATTATAGTGATTGTGAGAACTAAAAGCAGCAGAATGTTGGCACATTGCATACCTCTACAGCAATGCAAGGGATTTAAAAATTATACCCCAAGGCTAGGAACATGTTTGGAATTTTTTCTCAATATACAGAATAGCTAATCATACACAAAATAGCCCTGGGCTGCAATATTTTGGAGCTGCAATAAATTTAAAAATTGTATTTTGACGTCATACCTTCTCTTAAATATGAAAATCATTAAATATTCTAATTAAAGAACAAGAAATAGACCTAGGTCTTGCTGGGGGGTTGCTATTTCTACTGGTAATCAAAGAAGGGATTTTTTAAATATTTGAATTTATGCTTAACAGTATTTTTAAAAGTTGCCCTAGTTTCATTAAGGTAACATTCTACTCTGTAGGGCTTCTGGACTTTATAATTTATTATTTTAAATAAATAGATACCCATTGGTATCATGCCTATGAATATTTATAATTTTCAACAAATAGATACCCATTGATGTCATACCTATGAATATTTGAAGTATTTATACATTGGCAATATGACTTATAGCTTTTTTATTTCATGTGTTCAGTTGTTACCTAAATTAAAGATTAGGCTAGGAAAGAAAAGTCTTGTGGTCTTGTCCTCATTTGAGAAGAACTTTATAGAAATGGAAATCATACTTGTCTTCAGTCACTCTGCTGGTTTTTAATTCAGAGACTAGACCTATTGGTTTTCTGCCACAGGGCCTCTGTATATGCTACTGTAGCTGTGAAACTATCTACAAAGACTCCTTTCTATCTCTTAAGTTTTCACATGCTCAATATGTTCTCATTTTGGTTGACCCTAGCATAATGTCTAGCCTGCTGTGTCTACTTGGTCTAAAGTAGGCTCCCTTCTTATATCATTACTTATTGTGTCTTTTGAAATTTTTGTTTTAATTTTCATTAGATCATTGCTTCTGTATTATATGTTCTCAAGCTACTTATATATTAGGGATCATGGCTATGGTATTTACCTATGTATATTAGATCCAGCAACTGTCTGACATTCAGTAGGTGCTCACTAAATACTGGTAAATTAATAATTGCAAGTGTACATCTGAAGTAAGTAAAGGAAACTGTTGGTGAAGGGAAAAGGCAAAGCTGGCAAAGGGATTAATATGTAAACAGTAATAGGATGACAGTGGGAAAAGTGACAAGTACAATAGTCAGAAATTCCTGTTATCAACATTGAATGCCTAACAGCCAATTTTAAAGAGAATGAGATTGGAGACTATTGGAAATAATGATGATGTCATATATTAATGATGACAAGAAATTCAATTATTTCTTTTTTTTTCATTTATTCATATGTGCATACAATGTTTGGGTCATTTCTCCTGAAATTCAATTATTTCAAGGGAAAGAAGTCCATAAGAATGAAGAATACACTGTATCAACTAGAGCTATTTTGTTTAAGTATTATGTCAGCAGTGAAAGATATGGCATAATTTTATAATTTCATATATCTTTATATTTACCATACTGTCTTACTATGTTTTATTCTTGAGTGGTGTTCAGTAGATACTTGTGGAATACTCACTTCTTGAATGAAGAATTGCAAAAATTTATCTCCAAAGAGATAATTTGATTTTATTTTAGCTTAAGCTTAATTTTATTTTAGCTTTAGATAGGTATATAAATTATAATTGTCAAGACATATATATCAGGGTCTATAGCAGATGTTTCTACTAGTGTGAGAAATATGTTTGAAGAATAGAAAGACTTCGTTAGAATGCCCAGTTTTACTATATTTTAAATATATATGTGAAAAGTGTGTATAATATGCATATATGTGCACATTCATATATAATATTTTACGTACTTTTAAAGTGGTACTACTAGCTGAGTTCATCTCTGTTTCAAGCATAAACTTGAAAGTCCAGTAGACTGGAAACTAGCCTGCTACAGGAAGTACACAAAAGAACTTAAATGAGGAGATACTTGTTGTGGTACAAGAAAAATAACACAATTTTATGTTCAAATATCCAGAGTTTTCAGAAAGTAGTGAATGGGGAGAGCATGGATATTAGCCTAATTAGGTTAAATTCATGTTTTTAAGAAGTAATGATATAAGAAAAGACTGTATATGTTACACAAAAAGGAAGACACTAAATAAACACAGAGTATTTTACACATGATAGCTTATTTAGTCAGACTCAGTAATGATTACTCTTCTAATAGATAAACCCTAAGTTTACAACTCCATTGCTTAACATGAAAAAGACTGATTGTTTTTCTCACCATAATATATGCACCGTGGTGGTGGTCATAAATTTCTCTGTGACTCTGACAACTTAGTATTTGCTTCAATATTTCTCTGAGGTCATTGAACTAGAAAAGGGGGAAAGAAGAGAAATTAACACAGACAGCTCACTCTCTGTCTTAACTGCTTTGGTTCATAAGTGATATATAACTTTTGCTCATCTCCCTTTGGAAAAAACTGAGCATTGGTTTCTTTTTTCCTTAAATACAAGAGGTAGAACAGTACAGTTTTTTGATCATCCACACACAATGGAAGAAAATACACTGTTCATAATATCTCTAATGAGACTATTCACTACTTTTATTTTCATCTTTTCCTATTTTCTAAAATAAATGTAAACTTGGTTCTAAAAAGTATAAATAATAAAACTTGAAATACAGTGTATGGGTGAATTTCTTATCCTTCCTTTGGAGGTGCAAACAGCTTGGGGTACTTGCCAAAATGATAGAAAATACACTGAGTACAGCATACTGAGGACCCTTCTCTATGCATGGGTGACTGGGATGTAATATCTATCAGTGCTGATCACCTGGATTGGTTTGGCTTATCTGGCTGGCTTGGGAGATTTTCCATCCTTCCCTTATGTTTCCATGTTTCCTTTAACTCTGCCCCCCACCATCAAAGAGAAAGGCATTTTCTACTAGCAAAAGTTGGGAGCACAGCCAACCAAAAGTTATTTCTTATCACAGTCTGTTTCAAAGCTTTTCTTAAGCAAAACTCCATGATATGAAGATGTAAGTTGAAAATTCACCTTACACAATGTAGATGAAGTCTAATTGATATTTAATAAGGGTTAATACTAATAGCTGTCTACAGGCATATAGCATGTTCATTGGCCTTTTGAAAGATCATCCAGGAGAATGAAAAGTTGAAATTAGCAGTGCTAGAAGACTGTGACACCTCCTATGTAAACATTTGATTCCACATTTTATCTCTGACCTCTACTCTCTGGACAACAAATTGTAGAGCTGTTATTGCTGCTAAGATCCCTTTCAACACTCACCATTGGCTTCAAAGTTCAAGCCTTTCATTTCCTTGACCCACACTTATTTTCTGTTTCATGGCATGCCACTTTCTTGCACTTGTCCCATTAAGAGTCCACCAAGGCCATTTAATATTTAAAAGCAAGGATCATGTTGCAGGTTTTAGTTTAAAGGTAACCATAGCACACACAGACATTCATTATTAATATCAGAGATGCACTGTATGTTCTTGGGAATCTGCTTTCCTTTTGATGCTAGTTTCATTGGAGTGCTACTATCACTCCATTCAGCTCTGATATTGCTATGTGGCAAGTGGATCAACTAGTGCACTAACAACAGATCCAGAATTATTTAAACTGTTCATGTGGGTGGAGGTGACCATGTTAAAAAGAGAGATGAAGCCAGAAAGTGACAGGCCACGGAAAGTCCGGTTTCGGATCGCATCATCTCACAGTGGGAGAGTTCTGAAGGAGGTTTATGAAGATGGCCAGCCATCTGGCTCTCTGGATTCTGAGTGTGCCAGTATATGTGGGATTGATGGACTAAGTGATTCTGATGGACAGCCTAATGGCCACACAGGATCAGAAGGTGATAAGCAGGAGGATGATCAGGATAACTTGCTGGTGTTAGCAAGGGCTGCCAGCGAGAAGGCTTTCGGTACAAGAAGAGTCAACATTTTAAGCAAAAATGGCACCGTCAGAGGCGTCAAATACAAAGTGAGTGCTGGCCAAGCCCTGTTTAACAATTTGTCCAAAGTCTTACAGGTAAGTTGTCACACTTTCCTGCCCCTGAGCTTTGCTCTAACTGGCCGTCTGAACACCTCTCAGTTCTCCAGTTTAAAGTGAGCCTCTTTTATTCATGACTCTTCTGTACTTCATGAGACACTTCCCATTTAAGACATTGTCTCAACAGCCACTGATTAAAAACAGGGCCATTATTCTTGGCAAGCAAGACTTGCTTGCCACATTTCTAACATATAAGTGGTCTTTTCTTCTGGTTTGTGATGACTAAAACAATATCTTTATTTCTTGGCCAAGAAAGGACAAGCTATTGTGTTCAAAGCATTTTCTCAAAACTTAGAAGTTAACTTCTTCCTGGTTTATTATCCTTGAGTCACCAGGTTAGCATTTTTCATCATGAATAGGGATATGTAAACCAGAAAAGGCTGAGTGCTTGCATTCAGTGGTTTGGACTTGATGGGAAAGTTACGAAGGTATAAAGACTGTGACTTCCTTCTGCTCCTGAGGAAGTTTCAGGTTTTATCTGGTCTGTTTCCACTAACTTACCTATACTAACTCTATAGTAGTACTTGAAAAAAACTATTCAATTATAAATGTATAGACTGAGATCCCATTTCATAGTAAATAATTAGTCCTTAAAATGTGATAGATCCTACACATAGATCCTAAAGGAATGTGTTAGTCAGATCCTAGAGGCTTTGACCATGATCTAATGTTAAGGAAAGTATTTGGAATTGCCTGGAAGCCTAGGTAAAATGATTTTTTGGGTTAAAAGCAGTTGTCATGATTTCAGTCATGAAATTCACAACCACTATCACTAAAGTAGCTAATCAATAGTTTTCACTGTAATTCCGTTTTATATTTTTTCAATATTGTAAAAAAAGATCTCTTCTGGCAATTTTTTGATGCTTTTTCATTATATAAGGATGTAGGAGTTGTGGGGAGAACGGATTTCAACAAAAGTTACTCCAATACTTCAAAGGCAGTATTTGAAAATATCAAATCATGAAGGTAAAAAGAAACAAATTTAAGTTTTAGTTAAAGGAAAAAAATGCAGTTAGGACCAGCAGATATTTCCATATATAAAATTTACTCATGAGAAAGTTTATAGGTCAAGGGTGGGATGAAGGCCAAAAATCAGAAACTTATGACCATGTTTTACTAGATCGAGAGCAATCTTGCATAAATTTTAGAGATGGGACTATTAGGTTAAGCATAACCTTTGTGGAATGAGTTCCATCCCACATAAAAGTAGTTATTATTAAGGTATAGACCAAGATTCTTTGTCACAATTTTTAAAATGTTTGCATTTGTTGTGGTTAACTTAGCTTGTCGCTATTTGAGTTTGGTTATGATTTGTAGGGCTGTTTAGAAAACTGTTTTACTGGTTTTAGTACTTTGACTTGCATTTGTTTATTCAAATCTCCAAAAATAAAATCCCTATTATTTGTGAGTAAATATCTTAACTCTTCACAACCTAAAGAAGAAAAACCATTCTCCTTAGGTATCTTTACTCAGACAGTGCTATAAATTCACAAATAAGGAATAAATAAAATTCCAAAGTTAAAATTTCAGTACTAGATTAGATTACAATATTTACTTGCATATTTTTTTATGCATAATGCTATAATCTTTTGTGAGAATAAACTCAATAAAAATGTCTTTTTCTAATAATTTAACACAATGCCATTTACCCCAGACTTTAAAGGGAAAATAGCAGTTACCGACAGATGTCTTCAAAGTCTCTGATATTTAGTTAGACTTTTTCCTGTCTGTTTCTTCTTTTTTGATAGTGTAAACAAACTAATCTGCATGTTATAAGCCATCACAAATTTTGCCCAGCATTTTTAGTTTCTTCTTGGTCAACAACAATATCAGCATCAAATGAATGCTCTTGGATCTTTATATAACAAAATATAAGTTAAAGGAGCTCTGACGTTTAGATCAGCACTGCCAGTGGCACTGTTCACTCACATCATCATTTGTGTGACCAGCACCCTTTTGAGTTATGCAATACAACCTATGCAGCATTGTGTAGAGAACTGATTTGAATGGGAAGGGATGTACATGTTCTAAGGGGCAACCTACGTCTTAGGCATTTGTCTTAGAGTGATTGAATAGGTTCCCACAACCTTCTCACAATACAATAGCAGAGAAGCCCTAGAGATTCAAAGTTAGCATTCAATTTCTCCTGTACCCACTACAAGTATAACTCTTTCTCTGGATTGCTCTTTTTATTCCCTACCCCTTGCAGAGGAAGCAGCAAACTTGACTGCATGTAACTGTAACTCAGTAATTTCTCTGAGAGAGGAAAGAGTGAGCAGTGGGTATCTTGACTATTTGGTTAAGATTTCAATGAATGACTAATTATTATTTTCTTTTTATTGTTTTTTCTTTTATCATCTATGACTAATCTTTTTGAATAAGGACCTGTGATTGAAGAAACAGTCAGGCTTTTCTTCCTGTTTTAAGTTATAAAATCTTAAAGTACTCAACTTGGAAGTTGAAAGGAAGCCTTAAATGTAAATAGAATCTTTCAAAGACAATGCTAATCACTTTTCTTCTTAGCTATTAGTTTCCCACTCTATGATTACTGTCTCATAAAATATCGGCATATACCTTGAAAAAATTTCAACTGCGCAGAGACCAGTCATTGAAATTATTTCTTCTTCATTTCTCAATTTACCCTAAGGAACCCTGAGTAATTGAGGATGCAGAATATTAATCAAGGTTAAGGGTAGTGATGATGAAAATGGGAGCAAATGTCTGTTCACGTAGACTTGGTTTGTTGGTGAATTACTCAAGGCCTCCACTTGGTCTAGAATATGGTTCTTCAGATCCAGGAAGTTGAACTTTCTATCTTTCTAGAGATAACAAGAAGACAATGTTCAAGAGAGGCTAATTTGCAAATCTGAAAAGTACAATCTAGTTGTGGCCTGGAAATATGCATTTATTTGAAACTCTTTAGGTTATTCTTACATACATGAAAGTTTGAAAGTCATTGATCTAGAGTCTAAATAGGAAACTTGTCTAGTTCCATAGAGTAAAATAAAATTTCTTGATGTCACTTACATCTTCAATATTTAATGAGGAAAATGAAGAAGGTAGGCATTGATGTACGTTTTGTTCTTCTGATCAGGTTAGATTGCCAGGAGGATCTTTCCTGAGTCAAAGATGAGCAAAGGTTACCTTGACAGTTAGGTCTCCTGTTCATATCCTAACTTATCAATTAGTTGATTCAGCAACAGGCCCAGAAATCTTACCAGTACACTCTGATGTAGGTGTTCTGTTTCAATTGTTGAAATTCTACTCCAAGGATAGCTCTATCTAGATAATGGAAAATTTTAGACGCAAAACAGTTTTTGCTTTCTTCTTAAAATTAGTCACTGTAATTCATGCAAAACAAACTACAAAACCACTGTAGAGCTCATATATCTTATTACCAATTTGCATGATTGAATTTGAGGTAAACCTTGGTTTTAGCCACAACATAGTTCGAAAGCCACTTAAGGTAGATCAATGGTACAGATAAGTAAGGTTATTTATTTTTTAAAAATTCATAGTCATGGCATTAAATTTCAGACAGTTGTCTTTCCTTAACCTTATTCTCAAACTATGTGAGTCTACTCTGTTAGAATATTCTACTGGAATTTTCATAATTTTTATTTCTTCTTACCTAAATTTAAAATTATTATATTAGAGAAAAGTAGATATAAACAAGGAAAATAATTACAACATATACTATAATTTGGTAGTTCCTGCCTAAGAACTGAAATGAACATATAGCTTCTGCTTATATATGTATGACCTTACATCTGATTACTATTTATAAGCATTCAAATATTTTAAGACAAAACAAAAAAATATGTTTTCAGAACAATTTGAATTTTGCATGGGGAATTCACATACACTGCTTTACTTAATTGTACTCAAAATTTTATGAGAGAAGGAGAAAAAATATTATTATAATTCCTGCTTTCTGATAACTAAGTGTTAGAGAAATCAAGTACCTGGTCCAAAGCTAATAATACAAAAATTCTATCATTTGTTATTTTGGCTTTTTAAAGATGCACAGTACCAAATGCAAAACCTCAAGAGTTTACCTCTTCAAATGCTATAATGACTAATATGAATATTTACAAAGACTAAAGACATCATGATATGACATGGTATCTTTTTGAAACCTCAACATTTTTTGGCAGGTTTTAAAATTTATCATTTGTTTGACATTTGATCTTCATTTAGGGAAGGCCTGTAAGTTAAATTGCTTCTATTCAATTTCAAACAGTATTTTAAAATATTATCTAAGCCATTACTTCTATAATATATTTCATTAAATTATCATGAGATTGCAATGGTTGACACCTGAAGAGGATGACTTGGCTACCTCAAGCAGAAATGACTGGTGCTCAGGATGGATGGTGTTCACAGAGCATTCTGGCACTATTACTAAGCCATCTCTGGTTCATTGACTCTAGCTCTGGCATTAGAACAATATTCCTTGTAAAACAGAGTGATATTCTTGGTGACTTCTTGGTCCTGATGATTTATTTGGACCACTGTGTAAAAGCAACAATGATAATACCTAACACTGACTAAATACTTCCCGAATACTCCTGAATACCAGGCACTATTCACATTACTTATGTGTATTGGCATATTTATTCCTTACAGAAACCCTATGTGATAGTATTATTGTTAATAAATTTGTTGTAATTTGAGCTCCTCTATGTAAGAAACATTAAGATGTTGAATTTCAAGTGTCATTAATCCAAAGAAATTCTCATGTAAACCATTTAATGGAAATAATGTATTTTTAGCTACCTATAGGCAAGTAGGCAAGAAACTCTAGGATTTTTTTTAACTGGGGTTGAACTCAGGGCTCCCTACCACTTAGCCATGCCTCCAGCCCTTTTTGCTTTAGTTTGTTTCTCAGATATGGTCTTGTGCTTTTGCCTAAGCACAACTAGTCACAGAAAGTGATCTTCTTACTTCTGCCTTCCAAGTAGCTGAGATTAAGGTATGTGGGATCACACCTAACCTTGAAATGTTAGGATTTTGGATACAATTTCAAATGATATAGGAAACTACACTAAGAAATTAGT